ATAATGAACAAGATAGATGCTAAAAAATTCATCTCTGTTAGTAATTGCCTTCTTAAAACAATGGAAAAACTATTTACCCCAATCGCATTACGTAATTGGGAACAAGATTTGAGAATTAATATCTCTCCCAGAGTCTGGTATAACTCAATGATTTTAATAAATAGAAATATTCACTGTTTGGGATTAAATGAACTCCATTACAAGCTTCTTAGTAGATGGCATTACACACCGTTCACATTAAAAAATATATATCCACAATCATCATCAAACTGCTGGAAATGTGATAAACAAGCAGCAGACCTTTTACACATGCGGTGGAAGTGCCCTATTATTGAAGCAACATGTAGGGAAGTTGACCCTAAGTTAAACAACTTGATGGGAAATCCCATCGCTTTTAAACCAGAAGTGATGCTTCTCCATCAGAATATCCCCCAAATAAAAGGAATTCATTAACATTTTTGCTTCACGCTTTAACAATTGTTAAAAATGTTATAGCTAGACAGTGGAAAATTCCCACTAAGCCTGATTGGCACTTAATTAAGGCACAACTATCTTACCAATTAAAAATGCAAAAAGGTATCACAACCAGTTTAAATACAAAAATTTTATATTCTGGTTTGTGGGATAAATGGATATATAAACTGGAATCTCTGTAAACTATTAACTAGGGAATTGCCCTAGATGCGTTTTGAGGGCTCACCTGTACTGTTATTCTCTCTCCCCAAAGAGTGTGATCATTTTTTTTTTGTTGTTTTTTTTTTGTGTGTGTGTTCTGTTGTTATTTTTGTAGATCAATGTTTGTTATGTGTGTTTTATACTGTCAAAAATCAAATAAAGATGAAGTAAAAAAAAAAAAAAGAAGATATAATTCAGTATTCGTAGTGTGCCAAAAGGGGGGACATGTAAAATAAAACAAATGCAATACACAAACCAGTTCAAGAGCTATATACCCTGTGATGCTATTAGGCATGTTAAAGCATGTTAAAGGCAGTCCTATTGCCATGCCATATTCTGATAAATAACAATCTCACTGTATCTGTTACTATATCCAAGTGGTTTCCAGTCTTTACTAAATCTACGATTCTGAGCTGTAATGTATACTTCCAGATGTCTTAAGGCTTATTTAGTCTAAAGCAAGCATAGGCAACCTTAGCACTCCAGAGTTTGTAAATTACATCTCCCATAATGCTCTAACATCCATAATACTGGCAAGGGCCGTCTTTCCACATGGGCACGCAGGGCACTTGTCCGGGGGCCCCACCAGCATAGGGACCCCACAGCGTCACCCATGTGCTGGGGCCTACAGGGGAGATCCTTTGATCTCCTCTGCCGGCCCACAGAGAGACGGCCCGGCACCCTTGCTTTCGGCCCTCTTGATTTGGTGGAGAGATTAAATATCTCCCTCACTGGCCCAAAGGCCCTTCATTAGTGAGAGGTAGGACCTGGGAGGCATTTTTTTTCCACGGCAACGGTCCGATACAGAATTCTGCTCGCAGAGGAGTGAAGACAGACTGCAGCTCCTCTTGCTGCAGGCTGTCTTCACTCCTCCCGCAAGCAGAATGCTGGGTCAGATCGCGGGAAAAACTGCCTCACAGGTCCTACCTCTCATTAACGAAGGTGTGACGGACCGTCTGACACCCCAACTGGGTGCCTCCGCCAATCGATGCTTCCTAGCTGATGTTGAGGACCATAAACACCGCACCGGACACCATAAGCACTGTAGCCCCCTAGCCGCCGCAGCTTGTCTAGGGTCTCACAGTCCATTCCCACCCTGGACCAAACTCCTGAATCCAGCTCCCAGTGGGAAAGCCTCTCCTCCAAGAGAGTATAGTTGTGTAGTTCATCCAAGAGCTAGTGGTTATAGCCTGTATAGCTGTTCCCTACAATCACGAGATGAGGCTGCGTGTTGAGGGTGAAGTGAACTGGTTTATTGATAGCCCCAACTGGCCTTTTATGCAAGTCCCCATACAAGGGGTACTCCCACATGGAGCTTGTTGGGGACTGCAGCACAAATTCACAGACCAATGACAACAATTTTGAAATACAGGACACTCCCAGATATCATCATACAATCCCTCCCCTCTGCCTGGGAGATAATGGAGTCAAGCACTGTACTAAATCAATTATACCCTTAAACATACAAAATCCCCACAAATGTTACATCCCCTGATATCCCCAATGTGGGTGAAAATGATATCCAAAAATAACCCAGATCAGTTCAGGAGTTCAGGAATTTCCTGGATGTCATTTATTTAGCCGGCCGCACGCATGGCCCCATGCCCAAATCGGTTCCATAGAATTGCGGCTAAGTACCGCTGGGGTACCGACCGGGAACCGCAATGTTTTCATGCCGAAAATAGTACCAGGGCATTCGCGGCTAAGTCCCCCTGAAGTCAATTCGCGGTTTTCGTCCATGCGTTATTCCTGTGAATAGTTGGGCAGGCAGGGCCCAACTGCACTGATTTGCCCGGGGGCCCATAATGTTGTTAAGATGGCACTGCTGGCAATTTATCAAAGCATCAGGGGAGATGTAGTCCACAACATCTGAAATTCGAAAGGTTGCCTATTCCTGGTTTAATGTATCAGGACCAATAGAATGAACGCATATGTTGGGAATCTTCTTTAGCTATGCACTTGGGGACAAAAACTCATGTATCAGTCAGTGAGTATATTTATAGAAATCTTATGGACAATGCCAAACTGTCAGAGTTGGCTAGTTGATCCTTAGCAAGGTGAGAGGCAGTGACCTAACAAAGGCAAAGGCAATTGGCTAGGAAGAGGTGTATTACGGAACTTTAGAACGGCTGGGCTAGCATAAAGTAGGAACTAGGAAGTAACATGACTAAACTGAGAAAAGACTACAGGCCAGGAGAGGAACAAAATAAAACACACAATACTAAACACAGGCAAAGGTCAGGAGCACAAGAAAAGCAAAGGAACAACCCAGGAACTTGTACAGGGAGTGGGTCGTAAGACAAGCCAAGGGCTGAAACACGAAAACAGTTGGAAGGCAAACAGGCTGGGTCAGATACACAAGGGCAGGAGAGCAGAATGTAGTCAGGTAAGCCGGGTCAAAATAATAGCAAAATGAAATTGAAGAGAAGATAACCATGGATACAGAGAAACCAGATAGCCCTCCTTAAATAGGGAGGTCCTGTATCTGATTGACTCTTGTTTCCTGAGAGCAATTAAGTAAGAAAGGTAGCATCTGTGTTCCCCACCATTGTCCTACAAAAACAAGCAAATCGGAATAATCAGATGGAGAATCAAAAGTAATGCGGTCCAATACGTTTCCTCCAACTTGGGCTTCCTCAGGGACTATACAGTAAAAAAACAATGGCAGGTAAAAACAAATCGCCAACAATTTATTTAAGAACTTATGTTTTAATGTATTTACATAAATATGTATTTTATATTATATATAAATATAGATATATAATTATAATTATATATATATATATATATATATATATATATATAATCAATATCAATCTATGTGTATTTTAATATTCATATATATATATATATATATATATATATACACACAATTCATATTAAAATACACTTAGACAGTGAATGTGTATGTATGTGTGTGTGTATATACACACACACTTATTTCATATATATATAATATATATCATATAGATCATAATTATAATATATAATTAACTTTTATGTAGTTTTTTCAGGCAGCAAGGGTAGTACCTGTCATTCCAGGCACTCCCCTCCTGGCATTGCTGTGGACGGACATGTGATCGTAAGGTCCTTGCGATCACATGGCCCAAGAGGGCCGTAACGGGAGCAGTGGGACTCCCTGGGATGCCAGGTGAGTCCCCCAACCGCGATCACCGGCATGGGATCGCCGGCGACCGGGTAAGTACATAGGACGGCGGGGATGTGCTATGCTGCTCTCGGCGTTTAGAGTCGGGTCCCTAAGGACGGCATAGCACGCCCGCTGTCCTTAAGGGGTTAATCGAATTGAGATCTGGGAAATTTGGAAGCCAAGGCAACACCTTGAACTCTTTGTTATATTCCTTCACCGGTTGTCCGTCCTTTCACCACTTTTGGTAGGCACCAAGTACTGCATACTGGGAACACCCCATAAGACTTGCTGTTTTGAAGGTGCACTGACCTAGTGGTCTAGCCATCACTATTTGGCTTTTGTCAAGTCCTTTCACTTGCACATATTTTCTGCTACCAACACATGAAATTAGAGAAATTGCTGTTCACTTGCTGTATAATATATATCCCACACCTTGACAGGTGCTATTGTAACAATATAATCAATGTTATGAAATTCACCTGTTAGTGGTTTTAATGTTGTGTCTGATCGGTGTATATAGATAAAGTTTTTTTGTTTGTTTTATTTTTTTCCTACTCCTTTTTTCCATCTGGTTTCTCATTGGTGCTGGTGTAGCAATTATATTGTAGTTTTCTTTTTCTATATTATGGCATCTATAAAAAAAATACTAATAAAAACTACAAATTAACATTTACTTTGTGTCTTTGTGTGCAGATTCTCTATTTGGGAAGGAGATTTGTTTGACTTAAAACATGATAGCAGATTACAAGCAAATGGATTTGTCTAAAGTAGATTATGTCAACAGCAAATTGGTTTGCAAAATCTATAGCAGGGTATAAATCCCAGAGGCATTCAATTGGAGTAAATGCAAAAGTGATTTATGGAATTGGCATTATCAATGAAATTTGGTTGGTACTTTCAGGTATATTATAAGTAAAATGGATTATCAGCTATCTTGTCAACAGTTTTTTTTACATGCAATATTTAGCAAATTTTTCATTTTATAATGAAGTGTATTTATCTTTTAATTATCATAGTAGAAAGGAAACACCATTACTGATCAAACACGACTTCTTTATCAGAATATGTCAATGGTCTCATTTTAGTATATATTTAGATAATTACAGATGTAGAATTAATCAAGAGTGCATAACAAGCTCAACGAACATACAATGCATTGTAATTTTGATCTACATATCTGAGAGCTACACCATCATTGTGCCATCCAGTTCCATAGGTGACTAACAGCCGCTCATAATTAGGACACATCAACACATTCTCCTCCAGTCACCTTCATTATGAGATAAACCCAACATTAGCTGATGGACTTGGATTCTGTTGGTTTTCCTATTAGAGTCAATACCATTTGTGCCCAGCTTAGTCTACCGTGATATCCTCTTCTCTGGTGTCAAAAGAAATCAGGCAATATAAACACTTTATAAGAAAAATTACACAGATTGCATCCATAGGGAAAGTTTCTTAAAAGACACGCAATAGTGATTTTCAGGCTCTTGTGTTAGCCTTTCCCAAGCTACGGGTCCTTTTTCAATGGTGCCCTGCAAACAATGAAATATATGTTGAAGAAATATGTATATGTTTTTATGTATTGAAATTACAGAGAAAACGTGTAATAGTTATGGAACAGGTCTAAAGATCCATGTTTGCAACTGTATCCAATTTCCAAATTATCCTAACCAATCTTCAAATTATCCTTAATCCACCAGGTGAATATTTGGGCTTTTAAGGTCACAGTGCCCTAAAACACGTAGGCTGTTTTAACCAAGGCTGTCTTAATGCATGGGCACACTGGGCAGTTTCCTGGGGGTCTCACAAGCATTGAGGCTCGTGGGCTTTCCATCTTTTCAGTATATTTTTTAAGGAGATTTATTCAGAATTTTCAAACCCTCTAAAATCTTTGGGTGTACTAATCACCTTAGGATCAGCTGTTATCTGTACATTCAATCTTGCTGATGCGAATACGTCTTAACCTTGACAAAAACAACGTACACATACTAATTGTACATAAGGAAGACAAAATACAACACACAGATTTTTAAAGCCGTAAAACTATAATAAAGTTCTAATATTTTTAACAGTACATGTCAGTTGCCTCCCCCTACCTACTTAACATAAATAATAACATGTTTTTTAATGTTTAAAAACAGAGTTTATTGAAGGAACATATAAATATACTCTTAGTTTTATCGATAGTTATAATTTTTATTCCTGTGAGTGGATGTGTAGGTAGGTCCCCAGTGCACTGCTTTGCCTGGGAGCCTACAGTGCTGTTAAGAGCCCCGGTTCTAACTCGAATACAAACACATAATGGACCTATTACTTGATTTAAAACAAACATTATTATTACTGGTAATTATATAGTGCCAGCATATTCCATAGTGCTTTACAAAAATATGAAAGAGGGAAATTTAACAATAAATTATACAATTACAAAAACTTACAGGAAAAATAGGTTGAAGAGGGCCCTGCTCAAATGAGCTTACAGTCTATAGGAAGTGGGACGCAAAACACAACAGGACAGGAGGTAGCAAACAAACAAACAAGGTGGAGTGAAGCAGAGCTGGAGGAGAGAGTAGAGTGCTGCCCTTTAGGAGAGAGCAAGGGACAGATACTTGAGATAGAGGTTACTCTGGGAAGCCACAAGCTTTCCTAAAGAGATGGGCTTTGAGGCACTTTTTAAATGATTGAAGGTCATAGGCAGGCTATTCCAAAGGAAAGGAGCCACCAGCAAGAATTCCTGCAAGCGTGAGTTGGCTGTACGGGTGCGAGCAGCAGACAGGAGAGGGTCATGGGCAGAGCGGAGAGACCGAGAAGGGGCATACCTGAGGATCAGTGAAGAGATATAGGAGAGGCTAGAATTGGTCAGTGCTTTATAGGTGTGGATTAGTACCTTGAATTGACTCCTATAGGATAGAGGAAGTCAATGTAAGGACTGACAAAGGGGAGAGGTGTGAGAGGAGCGACAGGAGAGGAAAATCAGTCTAGCTGCAGCATTTATTACAGACTGTAACGGGGCAATATGACTTGTGGGAAGACCTATTAGGAGAGAGTTACAATAATGATTACTAGAGCATGAACAAGCTCCTTAGTAGCATCTTGTGAAAGAAAGGGGCGGATGCAGGCAATGTTTTTAAGGTGGAATCTACAGGATTTCCAAACAGACTGGATGTGAGGCTCAAATTTGAGGCCAGAATCAAGTATAATGCCAAGACTGCACGCTTGCAAGGATGGACTGATGTGGGTACCACTAACTTGAAGGAAGAGCGAAGGAGGAGGATCCGTATTAGAAGGAGGAAAGACAAGGAGTTCAGTTTTAGATAGAATGAGTTTAAAAAAACAGGAGGACATCCAGTCAGAGATAGAAGAAAGACAAGCAGTGACACATTACAGGACAGCTGGGGCGAGGTCCGGGGAGGAGAGGAATATGAGTGTCATCCGCGTACAGGTGGTATTTCTATTTTAATCCAAATGAGGTAGTAAGTTTGCCAAGAGAGGCAGTATAAAGATAAAATAGAAGGGGACCAAGTACAGAGCCTTGGGTGACTCCAACAAAGACAGGACGAAGGGAGGAGGTATCATTAGAAAAGGAGACACTGAATGAGCATTGGGAAAGATAGGAGGAAAACCAAGAGAGGTCAGTGTTACAGAGACTGAGTGATTGAAGAGTTTGGAGAAGGAGAACATGGTCAACAGTGTCAAAGGCAGCAGAGAGGTCAAGAAGAATTAGTATGGAGTAGTGCCCTTTGGATTTAGCTGTGATTAGGTCATTAGTGACTTTAATAAGAGCAGTCTCATTAGAGTGGAGGGGGCGGAAGCCAGACTGAAGAGGGTCAAGACCAGTCTTTCCAGAAGCTTTGAGGAAAAAGGGAGCAGGGATATGGGACGATAGTTAGAAGGGGAGGACGGGTCAAGAGATTTTTATTTTTATTTATTTTTTAAGATGGGTACTACAGTAGCATGTTTAAGGGCAGCAGGGACAACACCAGACGAGAGAGAGCAGTTGAAGATGTGTGTTAAGGAAGGCACAAGACAAGAGGAGAGAGATCTGATAAGGTGAAACGGGACGGGATCAAGCAGGCAAGTGGTGGGGAGCGAGGAAAGGGGAAGCGCAGCCACCTCTTGTTCAGCAGCCTGGGAGAAAGTCTGAAGGGTAGGAAAGACATGATCCAGGGGTGGTTGAGAAATAGAGGGGCAAGGTAGTGAGAATTCTTTCCTTACCTGTTCAATCTTGTCGGTAAAGTAGCATGCAAAGCTCTCGGCTGTAAGGTTAGTTTTGGGGATAGAAACAGCAGGACAAAGAAGGGAGTTGAAGGTATTGCGGGAGCATGAGCTAATGAGGGAGGAAAAGTAGGACTGTTTGGCAAGGGCAAGGGCTGTGCTGTATGAACTCAACATGAATTTGTAGTGGAGTAAGTCTGACTGGGTGCATGAATTCCTCCAGCAGCTTTCAGCAGAATGGGAGCATCTCTGCAGGTAGCGTGTTGATTTAGTGTCACGGTTGGGGGCGTGTTCTCCTCAAGGTGCATGCTTGGAGCGGGGCTGCAGCGTCCAGGGCAGAGGTGAGGGTAGTGTCATATGAATAGATAACCAGTGAGGGACAGGAGAAAGAAGGGATGGATAGAAGTTGGGAATCAATATTAGCTGCTGGAGGTCAATATAATTCAGATTTCTTCTTAGTCGAGGGGGGTTAGGTTGAGGATGATGGGGTAAGGGGCTATTGAGAGCAAATGATAAGAGGTGGTGATCTGAGAGAGGAAATGGAGTGTTGCAGAGATTAGAGATTGTACATTGATGAGAGAAAAATAGATCAAGGGTATTGCCAACTACATGGGTGGGGGACTTAGCCCACTGCGATAGCCCAAGGGAGGAGGTCATTGAAAGTAGTTTTGAGGCTACTGAGGACAAGGGCAGGTTAAGGGGAATGTTGAAGTCCCCAAGAATTAGGGATGGAATATTAGAGGAGAGGAAGTAAGGAAGCCAAGCAGCAAAGTGGTCAAGAGGAGAGGGGAACCAGGGGGACGATAGATAATAACAATGTTAGCAGACATGGGTTTGAAAAAGCCAACTGAATGAATTTCAAATGATGAGAAAGAGAGGCAAGGGGGTTGGGTAGAGTTTTAAAGGTGAGAGCAGAAACCCTACAACATGACCTTTGCTTTCAGAGTGTCTTGGGTCGTGGAAAAATTAAGGACCACCAAAGGATAGAGAGGCAGGGGTAGTGGTGTCAGAGGGAAAGAGCCATGTTTCTGTTAAGGCTAGTAAGCCTAGGAAACGAGAGATGAAAAGGTTGTGCACAGCAGTGGATTTAGTAACACTGCAAACAGAGCATGCATTCAAGAGGGCAGAATGGAAGGAGGATTTAAAGGAAGAGTGACATTAGATGGGTATAAGATTATTGTGATTCCTGGAGTTAGCACATTGTCGGTTAGCGGAGGTGGGACTGGGAATTGGATAGACATCGCCAGCTGCTAGGAGCAGAAGGATAGAAAGTAAGAGAAGGTGGTAGTAGGATTAAAAGTTTTTGTGAGAGGGTTTGTATCGATGTTACATTATGTCTGATCTAGGTTATACAAATATATGTGTTATTCCCACTGTATTGTTTTATATGGTCCAGTAGGTAAATGAAGACTAGGAGATGTGTATGTGATGGCACCACATTTCAGGGTTATTCACTAAAGTAGGAATTCAAAGTGAATTTAAAATGTAACGTCACTGGAAAAATTCTCTAATTCAGCTATGCTTGCGGTTTGGGTACTCTAGCCTTTGAAATTCATTTTTAATTATCAGTTTGGCGAATAAACCTGTATGTCTAGCTAATCATCATTTTCTCACCATTTAGTTAACCTTATCATAATAAATAATGTATTTATATCTCATTGCCTACTTTAATATACACTAAGGCAATCATTCTTGATAAATTCTGAGCAATTTCAGTCTATCTGCAACTAATGTCAGCAATTTCCTCCCAAACTTTCTGGAGTAGACCCTTTGACATTTTTACATGACCTTACTCCTTAGGAGTAGCACCAGCTTATTTCCATTGATTGTTGCAAATTGATCTGAACCAGTTTTCCCAGAAAACCTTCTTGTTATGTACTCACCTCTAATGACAACTTGCTGTACTTCCTGCCTGTGGTCACTTTAGATGACAAATTAACAAGTGACTAATAATGGAGTGGCATTTCATTACTAATATGTCAGTGGCAGTAAATACAAATACCAAAAAAAAAAATTAGGTAATCTGCCAAAGAGTTTTTTTTTCTAATTAAGTGTTCTTGCATAGCAAGACCACTTAATGTTATCTCACATATATATTATTCTTATTATAGCCAAATTTACCACCCTAACTCCTCCCACAGTTTTTACACTACATAGACAGTAATATACCGAAACGTGCGGATTGTTCCCGATTGGATTGCTATTGCTTTGTGGAACGTTTCGTCAAATGGTTCATGGAATATCGTCGTTCTTGTGGTGAAATTCGTCCCATAGGAATGAATGGCAAAATGTTCAAAACTAGAGTGGGAGCTGGCAAAAGCTG